TGGTTTTGTATTATTGTCTCCTCTCTTTGCCTCCCAGGAATAAACGTGTACTAATGCACGTGTATCAAGACAAAAATATCCTCATTGGGAGAGTTTATACTGAAATTTTACCCTGGGAAGGAACTATCTTTGGGAAGATTTTGATTGGATAAGTCACTGGGGCAATGTGAGAACTTGAGAGTATGATGGGGCAGGAACTCAATAAGCAAAAGACAATAGCAGAATTGTATGAGAGTTTGAGGATGAGAGGATAGAGTGAGGATCAGAAGGGGTGGTGAAGGACAAGAGGGGAATGGATAGCAACACCACTGAGGCTACAGCTTAAATTGTAGAAACTAGCAAGGATCTTTGGGAAACAAGGTTGTGTAAATTTCAAGTTCTGTCTACTATTGGGAAGTGAACTATTTCTGGAAACATTAAAAAATTCTTTGAGTGGGAATTGTGGGCCGGCTGAGCCGGCTTCTGAGTTCCAAACAGGAAATATGGGAACATGATGAAGATGTTGTCCTTGACAAACTCTGGACAGTGCCCCCGGGCTCTTTTTGACAAGGCCCTAAGCTTGAGATTTTTTCCTCAAGAATGCAGTTTTATCAAGAATCCCCAAATTAGGTTAGCCAGAACTTCCATCCTGATATCTGATTACATTCCTACTTCCCACCCAATCCTGTCAGACAGTTTAACGAATACCCTTTTCTCTAAACATTTCCTCTTAGGAATTTTCACTCTGCTGACCCCAGCTTGCTCCTTAACGCTCCACTCTCACTGTCCATGCTGCCTTCAGAAGTTTCCACTAAGGTCTCTTCCCCTCTTGACATTTCCCCTGGAGAAAATCTGTTTTCACCTCTGTAAGCCCTGTTCTGCTTTGGCTTTCTTTAATAAGCAGAAGATTAAAGCCAGTAACAGTGTAGAAGTGTCCTTACCTTTCTCTGCCCCAGAGAAATCCTGGCGAGGATTTGAAGAGTTCCACAATTCTCAAGAAAGGTTAATTTTATCAAGATTTTTTTTAATGTTAAAAGAAGGGAGAGCAAAGGAGTGGCTAGGAGTGAGTTCGAACCTATGGGAGTTTCCTTAGATTTTATAATGAGGTTTATCATAGCAGCAGTAACGACTTCACAGGGAAAAATTCAGTTACACAAGCAAGGAAAGCATAGGGCCTAGTGCATCATAAGGGTTTCTTAAGCATTAGACACTATTGTAAGTGCTGAGTAAACCTATTTCCATTGTTTTCTGGTCAATATTATTCTTTGGTTTAGGAGATGTACACATTGAACCTTGCCAGGGCTTATACTTTCCAAAGAAATGGCCAGGTGTATATCAGTCCTTGCGGACTCTTCTCACTACCTTTCCAGGCTGCCAACACTCACCCCTTGAATGGGGGTGTTATGGGTGTCCCCCCAAAGCCTCATGCGGTCACGGGGTAGGCTTTTAGAGTTTGATTGATTATGGGTGTGAGAGCTGCACCCGCCCTGGGGTGGCTAGTTTGCATATGTAAGGGAGAGCAAGAGGCTACTTGCTGCCATTCCTCCCTTTTAGTGCTTGTTACTTTTGCTGTGTTCTGCCGCCATGAGCTGTAGCCCTCTGCCATGTGCCACTCTGCCTTGTAACCTGCCAAGCAAGTATGGACTGAAACCTCCACAAACTGTAAGCGAAATAAAGCTTTCCTTCCTTAATTTTGGGCATCAAGTATTTTGTCCCAGCAATGAGAGAAAAGTAACTAAGACAGGGGGAAAGTGTCTTGTTCCTTAAGCTTTCACCATAGTTCATCAACCTATCACTCCCAACTCTTTGGATATGAGTGCTTTGGAAATGTGCCTGGATTGTTACAAAAATGGATCCTTTCATTTAAGTAACCTTGTAGAGTTTTTACAGGGCTGTGCACCCCAACCTCATGAGCAAAGGTGTTCATTGTGCAGATGAGATGTGGCTCAGATAACTTCACACCCTCAATTCAAAGTGGCTATAAAGTGGAACTCAGGATTTTTGACTTCTTTTCCACTGAGTTTTGGGGATGGGAAGGAATGTTCATTACTCACATCATGTAAAGTTGCTCTAGCAGCTACAAAGTGCTGTCCAGAGATAGAAAGGCAGAAGAAGATAGCTTTGAGGTATTTTGCATATCAAAGGAATTAGTTCTATTTAAGATCAGAAGTTTATCTGCCCAAATTAAGCACAGACTTCTAGTGCTAATCTTCTAAATTTCCTTTATTTGAATCCGGGTAGGACTTCTGAATAGCTATTGTCAGTTAACTAACTTAAAAAACCATAGATGCCATCTTTGGAAAAATTCTGGCCTACTCTCCTTCTTGAACCCGAAGACACATTATCCTTGCACTTCCTTTCCACCTTTTTCTTACCTCTGATCTGGAGGAGGTAGAGTGCCTGCCCCTTCTGTGTTACAAAGCAAATGTCAGGGGCACTGAAGATTTGCTTCCTCTGAATCTTCTGTGTTAATCTTGTTTGCCTGTTTATGAGATGACAAACCTGTGGTCCATAACACCTTAGAGGTCACAGATATGGGGAAGGAGGGGCTGTTTTGTGAACAAAAGGCAGATGAGGAAGAAGAGGTGGTGGAGAGGAAGAGAACTGTCACTGGTGATGGAAACTAAAAACCTTCTTTGTAAAAAGCTTACCATTAGTAGCTGTTAAGAAAATGGTATGAAGCTTTAAAATTCCAAGGGGCACTAGAAACCCAGGGCTGCGCATCTGTGGCAATCAGTGCCTCACATCTTGAAAGTGCGGAGGGCTAGCTGCACAAGGCAGAGAGCTGCTCAGTGACTGTGACTGTCAGGAATCTCACCCCAGGGACTGGCAAAGGTGAAGAAAACTCCAAATGTGTTTCCAAGTGCCAGTCCACACACTGGAGGATCTGGCTGCTTAAAGACTTGAAGGTCATGTGAGGTGCAAGGTGTGAGCACAGGGGGTGGGCTGGCTGGCCCTCACCCACACCTGCCCCCATCTGCACTGGAGATTGGACAGAAGCAGAGAAACCAGGTCAAGGGTCCAGTCAGAAAGTCAGCAAAACCCACAGGCATTTAGCTTGTGTAAAATGCATATATAGATTCATTTACACATTAATTTATTTAATACTCTCCCAGGGTTCTTCTCTTGAGGGCTGTGCCTTAATATTGGAGCCACTAACAGGTAGGTGTTCATGCTGTTGGTTGTCATTATTGTTATTCTCTAGCTAGCAGAGGAGCCTTTTACTCTGACACTGCAAACTTTGTTTGAATATCCCTGATTTATTATCCCAGTTGATGGAGGAGGGGGCCAGGAGAGTGACTCCAGACAGAGTGCTCTTCTGGTGCCTCCAGTGTCGGTAACAGAAATGGCTTCATGTTCAGGATTATCAGAGGAAACTATGACAATCTGCTCCCATCGCTCTGAATATGTTGTTAGTGATTACAAAGATTTTTGGACAAAGTAAGATAGTGCTACCGCACAGTGTTCATTAACAGTGTATGGATTTGCAATGTGTTTTCCAAGCTTTCAACCCAGATGCTAAATGATGCCAAGGGTCTTCAAAAGCAATTAGGGAAGAGAAATGTATCAAGTCAACCTTCATCCTTTTCACTAATTAATATTTACTGGGTTTGCAGAGACACCTACTTGGCTTTGAAAAAGGAAGCAAATCTGGAATTTTGTGAGAGCTGATGAAATACTTATGAGTTCAATAACAAAGCAAAAATGAAATGGGCCAAATGAGCAAGATATGAATTATGTGAAGAATTTTGAATTTAGTGAATCAATCTCATTAGCAGAGTCCTGAGAATCTCTATTCAGAACTAATAGGTTATGCTTCTGAAGTATTAATGTATTTGTTTATGGAGAAATTATGGTTAAACTGTGACAGGATCCTTGGCAAGTATTTAAACATCAGCAACAACCCTGCTCTCCAGTTTTTATAATTGAATTGAATTGAATTTGACTCAACTCAATTAATTTTGAATCACCTTTATTATATGTGTGGACCAAAAATCTGGTGCTAGCCTTTTGTGGAGGGATAAACTAGTAAAATAAGATCTTTAAAGAGTTGTGGTGAGGAGACATGGGCTCTGCCCTTGGTTCTGCTACTTCTTAGTCATGTAAGTGTGGACTTTCCTAGTTTCAATTTTCCTACTGAAAAGTGGTTGTAAAGCTGTAATAGTACCTATTTCCTAGGGTTATTTAAAATATCACATGAGATACAGCATGTGGCTGACACATAGTTAACTTCTTAATAAATATTAGCTAACATCAAAAATGGCAATAGAAACATCTCTAGTTGCAGGGAGGAAAATCACTCACTGAGGACCTCTTTTTTACTTGTCTCTTAGCTGTGGAGAAGGACATTCTTTAGTTTATCTTTCAATGTATTACCTATGTGGGACTTTGGGCCCCACCAAGCCATATGATTGTTTGATTCTGGAGGAAGTCTAGCAAAAGCATTGGTGCAAAAGGAAATGATAGCAGGATGTGTGTCCCTGTGGAAAGCTGCTGGGACAAGACTAGATGCCTTGCTGAGATATACCCAAAGGAATGATAACCTGATGGCTAACTAAGTCAGGTCTCATTCCTGTGATAATTGAGCTGTATTGTCCTCGCCAATCCTGTTAATTATTCCTCCCATTTGCCCTGTCGCTGCTTTTTGCTTGTATCCCAATAATGGGGCTGGGGATTTAGCTCAGTGGCAAAAGCGCCTGCCTGGCAAGCGCAAGGTCATGAGTTCGGTTCCCGGTACCGGAGAAAAACCAAAAAAAAAAAGAAAAGTAACCAATAAAAGGCTAAAGAGGATGGTAATCGAGGCTTCAGTCCGGGAGGCTGCAGCCCCCTGATCCCAGAATTATGCCTCTCTTGTTTTTCTTGTTTCTCTTGCTTTTCTTTTCATCCATGGCACCTTGGGACCTGTCACCCCAGACAGAAACTGACTATACACTGACACCAGGCCTGGAAAGTTACCCTGCCATCCTCCTGGCTCCTAAGAGGTGTGGTGTCTGGGAGGAAGACAGATGTGTATCCAGCTCCGGCTGGAAAGGAAACATGTCCAAGTTATCAGGAGTTTGGGGTTAACATCGTTTATCAGCTGGGAGGTTTTGGCTAAAACTGCAACTAAAGTTGTCTTAAGATTAGACAAATTACCATTGCACATAATAGAACATCCAGTCTCTGCCGCTGAGTGAGCCATTCAGACTCCAGGTTCTTTCCATTTTCCAGCGTTGGCTTCATTCTCAGACTGTGAGTAAGGAGGGGCAGTGTGCAAAGCATCCAACTTTCTCATGTTTAGAAGAAGAGGAAAAAGGATTTCTTTCTGTGTCTCTTCACAGGGTGAAGAAACTTCTGCTAGAAGTCCAGCAGCCAACTTCTGTCATCTCATCGGCCATACATGGGTTATGCGCCTCTTCTGGACCAGTCACTGTTAAGAAGTACAGAATGGCCCTCAAACCCTGGAGCACACAGGAGATCAGCCTTTCTCAGGGTCCAGGTACCTAAGGGAAAAAGACCTGAGCTAAGTAGTGGTGATCTGGGAAGTGGGGGAGAGGGTGCTTCTTGGAAGGAGCCAACAATGACTACAACAGGCCTCCAAATGTGCATGGCAGTCAGGAACACCTTACATAGCTTGCAGCTGTGTTGACTGCCTGAACTGAGATGTCAGCCTTGACAGGGAGTAATCAGGAGGGCATGGGTTTTGTGGTGAAGGGTAGATTATGCGGTGGTAAGAACAGGACAAAGCAAAAGGATGTGAAGTAGAGTAAGACTGGCTTCCTCCCAAGATGGGTAGCAGGAACTGGATTTGCTCTCCCACCTGGGGTAACCAATAAAACCTGAGAAAAGACATGAATGCTAGATACCAACCCACAGAGGACCAGGACCTCCGAGAGATGGGACCTAACAATTGTTTGGTTTATTCTTTTGAGAGTGTTTTGAAGTCACGGCACAGGGAGAAGGTAGGATTGAAAAGAAAATATTTTTATGTTTCTTCACTGTCAGGGCTTTCTGAACAAATTTTACTGAAATTTGGAATCTGACCTGAGAACAAGTCTTGGAAGTTAATTTACAACTCTACAGATAGTGGGAACTCCGGGGAGATTTACCTAACTCCAGAGATATGTGTTTATATCTCAAGAGGGAATGGAGCCTGGGACTTGGAGACATCTCTGAGCTGTAAAACTGGAGTCAGTGGGATTATCTGTTCTCTGGAGAGATTTATTTACATTCCAAAAGGATGGAGTAAGGCTTATGCACGAAGACTCCCCAGAAGCAGAGAGAGGTAACTGCCTCTTTCTCTTACACACAAGACAGCAATTACTTTTTTTCTGTTGTTCTTTACCTAAGGGGTGGAGCTGTCACTCACAGAAGAGAATTTTTCTTATCTGATTCTCATTACATTGCTCTGGAGACACGGGAGAATGCTGCTAGACCATTACTTTGACTATTGATCTTGTTACTAGGGTAGTAAGAAATCTATCTTCAGTTCAAAATTTCAGTGTGCATTAAGGACAAAATGAATAAGGATGACTATTAAAACAGAATGAGAAGTATCAAGGCAGAATTTGGCAGACCAGGAGATGAACTGAGAGTTTGGGGAGTCCAGGCTAGAGTTTGCAAGACCAACTAGAAGTAGGTGCACAGAGGGAGACCCCTGGGCATTGGCAGAAGCTTCCCTTTGCATACTGACACATTACTGATCAGTGTGTTTGTGTGGAGAAACTACTCAAATATGGGGAGAGACAATACAAAAGGATTTTTAAAAAGTATGAGGCATTCACATAAGTCCAGGAATGTTGCTCATTCCTACAAGTCAGACTGGAAAAATTAATAATTTATGGCACTCTGGGGTAAATTTGTAGGAAGGCTTTTCTCCAGTAGTGGAGAATAATTTGATCCAGATTGTAGTTCTAAGAGGAACGCAGAACAAGAAAGGTAATACCTAATGTGGTGGATTGACAGCTGGTAGCCAACTTGTAACACCCAGCTGAACTGAGCCATTGTGGTGCCAGGTATAGGAGGCCCACCTGAGGACTGTTGCTGGCAGCATATGAGGCAGAACTGGAGAAGAAGAGGAGCTGTAGGGAGCTTTGGGGAGCTGTAGGTTCTCCTGGGCTATTGGTTCTCCTGAGGAGCTTGTCATGCTGGCTTTTCTGATGAACTCACCTGTTCTCATCATCTGAGGAGCTTGGGACCTTGTTGTCACTGAGAATGGCTACAGTTCATTTTAGGGGAGCTCTCATCCTTACTTTAAGCATCACTTCCTGGATCCAGAGAGGAAGATGGTGCACTGTTCAACATCCTGGAAAAGCCTGTCACAATGGCTTTTCTCATATGAACTCAGCTGTTATCATCAGAGGAGCTCAGGACCTCGCTGTTGCTGAGGATGGCTGTGGTCCTTTTCAGGGCAGTGCTGATCTTATCTTTGAGTGTCGTTTCCTGGCTCCAGTGTAGATCCTTCAGCCTGCTCGCACAGATCCTTCATACTGCTGGCAGACTTTCTAGATTCCTCTGCTAACCTTTGGGCCTTCCCAGTGCAGATCCATGAAACAGGCCTACATGAGACGTCGTGAGCTCTAGGCCTCCAGTTGGACTCATGGAGGCATTGTTATGGGCTCTAGGTCTTTAGCTGGACTCATGCAGGACATTGCTGTGGAATCCCGGCCCTCAGCTGGATTCTTTTGATCTTTAGTGTGTGGAGAGATTTCTTGTACTCTTTTAGTATATTACCCTTTGGGTGACTACTATAAAAGAAACCTATAAATTTGTGTCCCTTGGAAACCCTGACTACAACACCTCATAACACTAAACTCTCCCCAGGTAACTAAACTGCATCCTTAGACACAGTTGACAAATATGTACGGGAGCACCCAGCAAATCAGAGCTCTTAATGTCTACCATTAAAACAAAGATTATT